GCCGACACTTACACAATGATTTAGCAACACCCCTCCATTCATTAACGCACTTGGAGGTAGGTAGGTAGTTCCGTACACAGGCACCTACCCTATTTTACCAACTCCTTCAAGAAGTAGTTTCCTTGATTTTTTCTTCGACTTCAGAAAACTAAAGTGCTTTAGTGTTTCAAAAATCCCTATACTCTTTCTTAACACTGGACAGATTTCAAAATAACTTATATAAATATTTTTCTTACGATTTTAATTTTTAACTTCAGTTACTTGAAGAATAATGAGAAGATTATAAGTCTAAGAGGAATCATGTTTTTCTCTTGGTTGTGATTACAACCCGACGAATCCACAAAGTATTTTTATACACGATAGTTTTTGCGATTGATATACTCCTTTTTAAATGTTCTTGTGACCAGTGAAGTTCGTCTGATTTTGTACAAAAAACAGTGTTCAAATAAGTTTAAAGAAAAAAAAGAACATAAGTTTTAAAGGAAGGTAAAAATAGACTTTCGTAAACAAAAAAAACAAACAAAAAACAATGACTAAAACCAAATGGAATCAAAAAGGTAACTTAAACAACAAAAAAAGAAGCAAATAGCAAAGAGACTAATTTTAGACGAAACTGCGATTACTTTCATATCCATCCCCACCAGTTGCGCACTGAAGAAAAAAACTGGTAGCGGAAAGATAAGCGAAATTCTTTTTGTACAGACAAATATAAATAATATAAAATAAAAATAGAATAAACAAAAACAGGAGAGAAAGAGAGAGGGAGAGATAGAAAGAGTAATTAAAGGCTGAAAATAGTAATAATACGACTAATAATAACAATAATCAATTGTAACTTTTAATATAATGATAACATCTCATCCATAAAAAATGGCGTCTTGGATTTCTGTGAAGAAAATACGAGGGGACATTTATATACAGTTAACTAGCCAATGAGCGTTCGTTCCTGGATGACTTACATGGTGAGTGTTGTTTCTTTTTCACCGCCCCGATATTTTTTATTTTATTTTTCTATTTTTTCCCCTCTTTTTTCTTTCTGTTTTTTTTTGGGCGGGGGGCATTCGTCTCGGTTATTTTCTCTCTCTTATTTTTGACTGACATATTGTTAAGATGCAAACACAAAATACACACACACGCACACATGCAACTTACTTTTTTTTTTCTCTTTGTCTCTTTCATATTTTGTTCCTTTATCACCATGTTTCTCTCTCACTCTCTCTATCTCTCGATATATATATATATATATATATATATATATATATATATAGACAGATTGTTTTAAAGAATGTTTTTTTTATAAAGAAATATTGTTCAATATCATGGATACAGCGCTTATATATATATATATATATATATATATATATATATATATATATATATATATATATATATATATATAGATATAGATAGATATAGATATAGATAGATAGATAGATAGATAGATAGATAGATAGCAGAGGTGCTAGAAAGTTCCCGGTCCGAATAAGAATTATGTTTTTTTTATTAGATCAAATTTTGCATCTGGTCTAAAAATTCAGTATACCTTATATATATATATATATATATATATATATATATATATATATATATATATATATATATATATATATATATTATACATGTAGTAGTATGGCGGCACATCAATAAGTTCACAGTCTTATGATAGTAAATTATCACTTTGTGAACAGATCAAAATTCAACTCGTGTAAGGTTACAGAATTATTGATTCACTCTCTTTCTATCTACTTATACATAGAGAGAGTGAAAGGGAGAAAAAGAGAGAGAAAGAGATAGATAGAGTGTGTGTGTGTGTGTGTGTGTGTGTGTGTGTGTGTGTGTGTGTGTGTGTGTGTGTGTGTGTGTGTGTGTGCGCGTGCGTGTGCTTGTCGGGAGAGAGTAACACGCAGATATGTGAGAAAGGATTTTATTTAAACGAGATTGTTACATATTTTACACTGACATTATTTGTTTGATCCGAGAAATAAACGGGCCTTGAAATTTAATGTTTGTTACAGCCAGCTCCTCTCCACTTGGATGATTTTAGCTTCACAATCTTCCAAAACTCAGCCTGCACTGTGTTAGTCTGAAATGACCATATTGAATATACATATATCTCAATCTATTCACGATCTATCTATCTATCTATCTATCTATCTATCTATGTGTCATGTTTTTCATTTGATTATTTGTTATTTTATCTATATGTGTGTAGAGATTTGTTATTTTATATATATTTTATCTATATGTATCTCTCTTTTGTCTTAGTTTGTCTTTTGTTCTTTTTTAGTTTTTCTTTTTTCATACCTTTTCTTTCTTTCTTTCTTTCTTTCTTTCTTTCTTTCTTTCTTTCTTTCTTCGTCATTTTTCTTTTATCTTTTAACCGTTTTTCTTCATTTTCATTAAAACAAATAATTTCTCAATTTTTTGCACTTTCAGTTTTCCCCTCTATCTCCCTCTGCTTGTTACACACACACATACAAACACACACATACATATATATAACGTTATTTTTCTTAATGATTGTATCCCGTCAAAGTTGGCAATAGAGTAATAACATTTTGCTGATCCTATTTCTGTATGTAAACGAGAGTATGCTATTCAAAAGCTCATTCTTCCATGTTCTTCTTCTTTTGGTATACAAAAATGAGATATTTAATGATATGATGATAGAAAAGAAAGCAGGGAATAGGGAATTCATGCCTTTCCCAAGAGCATTGGCAAACAGAATTTGAACTCATTTTGCTGATTCGTTTTACCATAACTTTCCCATTTTATTTGCATTTCAGTCCGTTTTGCCCCTCTTATTCACTCTCATGTTCTCACTCTCTCCCTCACTCACTGCGTTTCTTTCATTATCTCTCTTTTACCATCTTTCAATAGACTGCCTGTTATCCATAGCAAATCTGTCATGTATATATTTATGTAGAGAGTTAGAGTTTAACTGGTTGTCCCATTACTAGTTATTTAAGACAGACTAACAACTTTAATTTCGAGTTTTTTTTTCTTCTTTTTTCTCTTGTTATTTTTCTCAAATTACTTTTTCGCTCATATTTTTCCATTTAGCCATGAGTTGGGGTCTAAGAGGAAAATGTGAGAACAAAAGTCAATTGCACTCTTCGGTGTTCTCTATTCTGTTGGTTTCTTGTTTCATCAACAAATCTTTGAAACTTTTTGGGCATTCATATAAAGTTTTCGCTGAAACTTTTGAAACTTAATTAACATTTAGATGTAGTTCATTACGAAATTATCGGTGTTGTTTTGTGAATTTTATTTTGTTTACTTATTCTGAAATTTTAAATACAAAAGAAATGAACGTAAAAATGTACCAATTTCCTATCCCATTCATGTGTTCTTTAAACAACAACATTTTAATGAAATTGAATAGATCAAACTATTTAACAAATAAATTGACATTGTCCAATTACTTCTAACGTTATCAAACTTCTGATTGTCTGACCAAAATTTGAAATATTTTTGTTATTTTCATATTTTTACATAATCCTTATTAGATACACATTTCTTCTTTTTTTTTATATTTTCTTCGATATCTGCCGCTATTTTTAGCTTTATATTATTCGTTAATTTCATCTAGGTTAGAATATATGGTTGAGGTTCAATTAAACACAGTGTACAACTGAGGTACTTTTTCTTTCACGACAAAGTAATTATTTTCTTCAATTGATCTTTTCTCACCCTACTTTATAGTTCTCTCTTTCCCTTTGTGTTTCTTTTCTTTGATCTTTTCTTTTTCCTTCTCGTCCTGCGTCTTCTTTTTTCTTTCTTATTTTACAATATCTGTTCCTTTTAGTTTTCACAGATTTTAAAAATATATGACTCACCTACTTGGAAATATATATTTGACGCATACCTTCGCATCGAAGACCAATTTACAAGTGTAAAAAGTTCAGGCTTCACTGGGAGGGACTCTACTTTAACCTAAGTCTAATTTAGCAAATAATTGTCTATTAGATGAAATATTGTCAGCTATTACTAATTTTTAAGTAGCACTTCATTCAATATTATTTTCATTAAAACTATTCAGTCCGTCATTTTACATCAATTAGTAAATGGTATCGATTGGAAATAAAAACAAAGCTCGAATTTTCATTGCTTTTGCTTCTGTGACTGTCTTACTGTAACTGCTACCCTTTTGGCTCAGTCGGTTAGAACATGAAAAAACTCACATTAGTATGAAAAATGTGCACGGTGAAAATTCATTGATTTCAGTTTGCTTGTATTTGCTGATTTCTTGCATTGTGATTAGCAAGTTCATCTTGAAGACTGTTCATTAGGGTAGTGAGTTCGATGTTTACTGAATGCAGCACTTCACTAGCTTTTTGTCTGGCTAAAAAGAAAATTTATCTAAACTTATTCATCTATCCTGTCTTTACGCACTTTTACTTTAATTCTTTTCTTTCTCATTTTCCTTGTTTTTCTCTCTTTCTTCTTTTTCTCATTCTTTCTTACTCTTTCTTATTCCCGTTTTGTTCTTATTTTCTTATGATATTCTCATCTATCCTTCATATTCTTTCTTTCTGCTTTCCCCCATTTTCTTCCTTTCAAACACACACACACACACACTTTTAAAACATTTTAAGCGTTTTTTTTTTTTCCGTCTTCCTCTTCAGTTTTGGTATTACTTCTGAAAAGACACTTTCTTTACCAGTACCTCTTTTTTTTGTTACCTCTCCCTTCTCAGTCTTACTCTGTCATTCCTCCTCCAAACTCACCTTTTTATATTTTTCACAACCTTTCCAGACCAAGTTAATTAAAAAACACCCAATGCATTTCCCGTTCAATGTTTTTCATTAATTTCCCTACTTCTTATATTGCAATTTTTTTTTTCATTTTCTTCTTCACTTACGCTTCATTCTCCTTCCTTTCCTCACTCTTACCATCTTCTCTATATTTCTTCCTACTTCTTACTTACAACTCTTTCTTTTTATTCTCCGTCTCCATTTGTCATACAATATTTAATAAACATAGTTCAACCGTATCAA